GTGGGAGCAGGTGTTTTTCTGATAAAATATTAGACAGAACCCTTTTTTTAACGAGACACGGCGGGGAGGGAGATAAAAGACAACAAATAACTGATTCAATTAGGGACTTTGATAAAAACTTCAAACTAATTTTAGAGCTGTTTTTTTTCTTTTTTTTAACTTGTAAATCTCAATGTACTGATTCCAAAACTGTTATTTTTTTTAAGTCAGACCACCCATTAAGGATTTAGAGGTCATCAAAGGTTAAAAATTAGGAAGCTAGTGCAGTATTACTTCCATAACCATAAAAACATTCGCAGAGCCCCATATAGAGTATGTTACAATTTTTCAAACCAAAGAAGAAAACAAATATTTTTTTTCTAAATGATGTGGGGGGTCTAAGCACTAAGAGTTATTGAAGATCACAAAAACCTGATTGACGTGATGCCTAATTAAATAGCTAAGTAGCATTTCTAGTTTTTCACAGAAAATGTGTACCAAATTGTAACATTTATATTGACTTTATAAGAAATTTATGTCCACCCAAATAATATCTATGCTCACAAGCCACTTCTGTTTAGAGTATTAGTTTAGAAACTATAGGTTTTCTAATGAGATAATGTAGTTTTAGATGTTTCAGTTTAATGTAGATCCTTCATCAATAGTTATGTTACCAATGCTTCCCCTTGAGCTGGATGGTGCTGGTGAAGATCAGGGGTCTATGGAACCTGTAAGGTTTCCAGGAAAATCAATATTTGACTGTAACTCGATTGGCACTTGTCGACAAAGCCAAGGTTTGGAAACTGAAGAGAATTTGCACCACTGTTCTAATCTCTGTTAATCAAATACCACCCAATTTCTAAAAAATACCACCAACAACTCGCTTTGCAGTGTTTCATTTCAGTGAACCTCCTACTCCTTTACACCTCTCCTCCCACCTGCCCTGTACAGGTGCTGGCCAACATCAAACCTCATGGTAGGGTAAAATGAATTTTAGCTTCAGGGAAGTCAAAATGATTAGAACTCTTCCTGCGTTTCTGCTAATCTTAAATGATAAGACTTGTAGATATGTCTTATAATGAAAACTTTCATAAGGTACACTTTGTAAAGTTTTAGAGGTATGTCAAATTAAAATTTCATGTGAAGTGAGAACAATCAATTTCATATTGGTCAGCCGTTCACTAAAAGACTGTTGAAAACCATTGGAAGAATCTTGGCTCTAAATGTCATCAGTATTCTCTTCTTAGAAGACTCAAATGGCCTTTAACTATAAAATGTGGGCGTTCTTTCTTTTCAAAACTGTATCTTTGGAATGAAGCCGTTGGTGTGAAGGGGAGGGCTTTGTAAGATGAGATAATATTTGAAACCTTATCAAACCATCTCGAAAATTGGACAGCGCACAAACAAAAGAACTCTGGCTAGTCGAAGGCAGGCTTGTTTCGATAGAAGCGTCTCGACCCGTGGGATATCCCCCCTCCTCCAGACCTGGTGGGTGTTGTCCTCCCCCGGTCAGAAAAGTGCTGTGAAACCCCAACGCCATATTGTTGAGGTAGTGGAACCCGCTGTGTCAACGTGTGACTTGAGAAGTTTCCCTGATAGTAATAATAAGATTGAACAAACAGGAAAGAGCAATGCAGTGCGCAAAAGTGAAAGATGCTTAGTCAAAGGGTGGGGGTGCACCGGGTGCTTTTAGTTGGGTGATGAGGTAATGGATTGATACTGTTTTCTCACACGGAGACTATTTACCCTCCATTTTTACCCTCTTAGTATCCATAATGATATGAAGGTGGAATTTATTTCATCACTCTTTCTGAAAAACATATCATCTTGCACAGCTGACTGCTGTAAGCCTACAGGTTAGAGGAAATTTGCTTGACTTTAAAAAAATGTACACGCAGCATTTGGGACTTTTTGAAGTATAACGAACATAATATTGCTCTCTTTAGACAATGTAGCGTGTTGACTGTTTAAATGAATGTAATCGACTAAAGTTTCTAGTGGTCTTCTTTAAGGATACTTTATAGTTTGATATATTTAAGGCAAATTGTTTTTGCTGCATTAATGAATGTTTTTTTTTTTTTAAATTTCAGGTTTATGAGACAATTTATAAATATCGCAAGGGTTCTGTTTTTCTTCTTTGTCTTCTGAGCTTTACTGTACAACTGAGTAAAAGGCAGCACAACAAGTTAGTGTTTTTACAAGAGTAAAGTCATAAGAGATTAAAGTTGTAATATGAGAAAAAAGTCATAATATGTGAAATGTCCATTTTGTTTTCCTGATTTATTTCCCCTCATTTCCTCAAACCTGCTGTGGACAGTCATGCGTGTCTCTGTGTTTATGAAGTAATCTGATATGACTTTTAGGTCACAGTTACTGTAACATTCTTTCATCCAAATTACGCGAGGATTCAATTGATCAATGCAGCATTAATTGCAACACAGCTATTGTTTCAAAGTCCTGTTATGGATAATTGTACCCCATCGCTAAGGTAGGGGACAAAGAAATTGCTCTCCTTCCGTCCACAATGGGGCCATCAGCGACGGTTGGCGTCGAGTTCTGTTTGATGCTGATGTGCTAAAAGATTGTTTCTTTTATCTGATACCAAAGTACAATTTCACAAGATTCTCTACATTCCTCATTTTAACACAGTGGTAAGACTGCTGTTTTGTGTAGGAGTTTTCATAATATTATGATTTTAATATTGTAATATGACTTTATTTTGTTAATGAAAAAAGGTCTTAATATACCATTGTGTTACTGACACATTGGCAACACACCTCACTTAATAAAGAAAAATAATTCAACAACTGACAATATACAAAGCAATTATATAATTGTCTTCATTGGTACTACAACTGAATCTTTCCATTTTACATGAGTTGAAGATCTAAAATGAACCCTTTCTGACTCTCTTCAGTTTAGGATAAAAGACATGACAGTTTCTTCACCACACAGGGCAGTTGGTGCTGTGTTCCCATTTCCTGCTCTAGTCTTAAAGTTTGGTATTGCAAGGAAATAGACATAAAGATTCACGACTCTTCACCAAAAAGGCTAGTTTACTACAGGTTAAGTGATAAAAAAATGCAAAATACACGAGCTGGTGGATAGAAAAAAAAAACTATTAAAAACTGCCCGATATGATTGTGTATGTTAAATCTATTTATTTAAAGCAGTATTTCTGTGTATTTATTTACTGCCCTATTTAAATTGCTTCACCTATGACTAAATGACACAGGTGTTTTTTGTTAATCAAAGTGTTTAGACCTCTTCTCCTGTTGAAACAAGTTAAGAGTTACGATGGCAACTGTAAAATGAGAATCCTGCTGGACTTTTCGCCTTGTTCTCTCTGGGAGCTTTCACACTTGTTACTTGATACCATGGGCTTAAAATGGGATTTGTTATGTGGGGCAACCACTATGTTTTAAGGGTTAAAGTGGGTGTTTCACACATGTGCCTACAGAATACAAAATTTAATATCTGATCCCCTTGATATCAAGTATGTTGTTGTCGTCAATTTATTTGTAAGTAATATAAAAAATACATCAACATTTATTAGCTACATTATGGAAAAGTTTTCTTACAACATTACTTATTAGAGGAACTTTGATCAAATTATTGCCACATTTCAAGGAAAAAGTTGAGAGAATCATCACACACCACCTCAAAAAAAAAAAAAAAAAATACAAAATTACTAACAAATCATTTGGTCTCCAAATGATGGACAGACATTTTAGTAAAACAAACTAACAAAAACGTTTTACCAAAAGCTGATTGTTGGTTTGTCTTTTTGGAGTGTGACTTTTCACCGGGTACTCTGGTTTTCTCCCACAGACCAAACCCATGCATGCAAAGTTAATTGGTAAGTTGCCCAGTATGTGAGTGGTTGTTTGTCTCCTGTTTCTATGTGTCCATGTGATGGACCAGGTCAGCTGTGCAGGGTATAACCTGCCTCTCGTGACTTCTGGAGCTTATGATTGGGCGAAATTGGGACAAATAAATAAATCACAATTAATTGTGGTATTTAGCCAATAACAATTATTAAGATGATTAATCCTCTGGAGTCCCTGGCCCTAATCACATAACCAGTTTAAGTCACTGTAGTGGGAAAGATTTCTCCATAAAAATCTATTCTAAATTGTGTCAAAAATACAGACTTTAGGCCATACCAGTCTTTATATTTCAACCAAGTAAGAAGAAAAACTCCTTTTTAAAATGTTCTTCATATTTGAAGTGGAGAGGAGCATTGAGCGGACTGACCGGGGAAATCTCCAGTCAGTCTGCATGGTGGCATTAATCGTATTAGTCATCAAGTGCCAAAAATAATCAAAGTTTTTCTAACAATTAGTTGCAAATGAACTGATTTTGCCCAACCCTACTGGAGCTAAACTTCAACTCTGTGATCTGGAAAGAAATCAGCGAGTAAAGAAAATGGATGGATGGATGCCATATGGAATACTAAAGTGAAATACCATAAAGCTGTGGCTATCTTCCAATAACATATCTATATGTTTATTGCAGTGTACTGGTGACAGCACTTAAGATCACCACTTGGTAAGTAGTTTGTTCAAATTGTGAAACTAATGTATTGTAATGTGTCTGAATTTGTCTACATATTGAGCCTCCAGATTAAGAAATGTCACATCACTCCCTTATTTTATTTTACATTACATTTGTGGTAATGTGACATGACTGAACGTAAGCTACTGTTAGTTACTAACTTTACTATCTAATTTGTATTAATTTATGTATAAAATGTGCTTTAAAAATAACAATTTTAGAAAATTCAGTTTCTTTAGGGTTAAGAATTGTTTACCGTGCATTTAAAATAGCTTTAAAGGCAAAAAGTTGAGTAAAAAGGAAAATGTAATAAATAACTTTATCTTACTAGTACAATTATTGTACCACATGCAGAGTTTATATAAATATATAGCCATATAATATTAGGCATATTCTTCAGATTGAATTCATGTTTGTTGCATCTTTAATAATGTATACTGGGAAAAAAAATGACACACAGAGCCTTAAATTAAAACAGTGAACATTTATATCATAATTTACATTTTTGACATTTTTGCACTTAAATAACTTTGGAAACCAGAATGTAAACAAAGACAGGATTCTCCTCTGGAGTTAAAGCTTTGACCAGAGAAAACATGCTTTGGTCATCAGAAACACGATGAAACAGAAAAATGGACTTCAAAGGTTGATGCACAACTGCTACGAAAAAAATCACAGTTGTTTTAGTAAAATTAAATTAAGTATTAATGCAGTTTTGACCAGTTTCATAGGTATTATACACAGTGTAAATGTTAAAAGCTTCGGCCCAGAAGACATAAAGTAAGAGGGAGGGGCCAGTGCATAAAAGAGGGCCGAGGTGCTTAGGTGTTCTTGACAAGGCAGCAGATGAATGGGGCTGTTTTTTTTTTTCAAACAAAAAATATTAACAAATAAGAACAAAGTTTAAAAAAATATATACATACAAAACTGATAACAGAACTAAAGAGCAAACACTTCATCATATACAGAAAGTTCACCTTCCTTTTTTCAGCATTTTGATTCCTTGAGTCCTTCTTCCCTTGTTTAGATTTGTCCTTTTTTGACTTTTTGGTGTGCATTTGAAATGAAAGCCAAGTGAACTTTGGTTTCTAGCATATATAGTGTAAATTTTCAAATCTATTCACAAAAATGAAAGAAGAAGGGAGAAGGGGGAAACACGGCTAACCAGCCTCCTGAGTCCATTTTGTGCTACATGTTAAGCGGGCCGCGCCGCTACTTTGGACCACGTGAAGAGCTGCTCTCCAGTTTAGTTTGGTTTTTCTTCAAGTAGAAAAAAAAATCTAATAAATAGAAAACTCCCACCTTCAGCTATTCCTTTAGACACACACAAACACACACATAAATCACATCCACACTGAGGTAACTGTTGTGAAAATTTTACAAAAAGAAAATGCCCTTTTTGTTCCAATTAAATTAAGAAAACATCAGAAAAGGACACAAACTTCAGGTAAACTATCGATGAAGGCTGAAATAAAGCTTTTGTCTCCTAATGAGCAAAATTATGTGCCATACTTTGGCAAGTTTAATTTTTACCATTTCAACCTGCTACTTTGGTTTCAAAATTTAAATAGGTAAAACCCTGAAGAATGGATTCCCCTGTTTCTGCTGGTCAGAGGTAATAGGACAAATAAAGGGCATAAAAAGAACAACTATTTACAAAGAAATGACCACAGGGAAAAAAATGTACTTATGTTTTCACCCCATCAGTCTGAACATCCATTTTACTTATTGCTTTTAAAGACACAAAACAAAAAAATATATAATAAATTAGATTACATAACAACAAATTAATAAAAAAACAAAATAGATTTGAAAAGAGACAAAAATCATACTATAATAATGATAATAGAATTATATTATTACATTAAAAGTTAATCCTTGTTAGGTGATTGTCTAAAACTGGTAAATGCTGAAATCACTGAGTAGTCATGGGACAGTGTCTCTTGCAGCCCTGAGTATGCGAGTCCCTGATAGGTTGAAAACATAGTGATGCCACTTCTTTAAACAACCTTATGTACAGCTATTGCTCCTGGAAACAAGTCCACCATACAGTCTAAAATCTGTCTCTTGTACATAAAAGGCCATTTAGGCATGATCCTCTGACTCTTTCTTGACAGTGATATTAGCGGGAAGTGGTGGGATGGGGCTGCTGTGCCGCATTTTGATTACCGATGTCTCGTTTGGGGACTCATAAGCACCATATCCGGTTGACAGTAGCTCAGTGGCACTGCCATTATGGTAGGCATGAAAGTGGGGGGACTTCTCAGTCTCTCTCCACAGCATCCCCAAGACCTGCTTTTCTAACATGGCATCCATCTCCACTCCTCCCTGCAGCTGCTCCAGTTGCTCCGCATGCTCGCTTATGTCAAAGCGCTCTATCTCCTCGTTGGCGCGGTGGATCTCTTCCAATGAAGCCTGGCTAGAAACATTTGGGCTCCCAGAGCCAGGGTTTGCTGCCAGGCAGTAGCCTTTCAGGTGAAGTCGCAGGCTGCACAAGTGGATGTAGTGGTGATGGCAGTGGGGACATTTGTGTGGACGCTCGCGGGAATGAAGGCGTTTATGCAGCTTCAGGTGGACGAACTGCGTGAACTTAGCTGGGCAGAGTTTGCAGTGATACGGCTTTTCCCCTGAGTGAAGGCGCAGGTGAGTTTTCAGGTTGCTGGTGCTGCTGAATCGCTTGTGACATACCTGTAGGAGGAGACAAGTAGCTCATCAGTGACTTATAACAACCAGTGAGCTAATTCTTACAGTTTGTTAATAAACTGTCGAAAGAATCAGCACATTTTCAACATTTCCTACCTGACATTCATGTGGCTTCTCTCCAGTGTGAACCAGGTAGTGTTTTTGCAGGTGAGCAAGCTGAGTGAAACCTTTGCTACAGGTTTGACATTTGAAGGGTCTTTCTCCACTGTGCACGCGAAGATGAACCTGCATGTCAAAGGGTTAAAAAAGTATACGTTTTTCAAACGGTAATCTTAAATGTTTAAATATTTGAACATCTGGTGACACTCATTGCTCATTTTAGTTCCACAAACTTGCTTTGCTGCCTAATGATTACACTGCAATCCCCACAGAGCTCAGGAATGATAATAAGATAATAAACCAGACAAGCAGAGGTCATGTTGAAAGGCACATACAGAACAACTCGAAATCTCACCTTCAAGTTTGAAAGCTGCCCGAATGTCTTACTGCACACATTGCACTCGTACTTGATTTTGCCATTCTGCTTCTTCAAAGGATAAGGCAATGCCTTGTAACCCGCTGAGCCAGCACCACGCTTCCCTTTGGTCAGGTTTATAGCCTCTTCATCAGAATGTTGATCGCTAGAATTACCCAGGAGGGCAGAGGTAGGCTTAGTGGGCAACTGCTCACTGGGAGGCGCTGTGCCAGCCGTTGGTGAGCCGCTGGAGGGAGCATGGGCTGGTCCATTCAGGTTAGGGTGCATGGTATACGGGTTGTGTGACCCTGCTTTGTCTTTCAGAGCAGTGGCGGCTGAAAAGGCACTGGTGGGCCCTGGAAAGAGGAAGTCTCTCTGGCCAGATATACAGGAGGGGCGTACAGGTTCAGGCATAAGAAAGCGCCTCCCTGCTGGGTCAGAAGGCAGGAGGGGCACATGAGGGGGTAAGAGGCTGCTGTAGACAGGGTAAAGCCTAGGAAAGATTCCTCCGACAGCAGGGACACCACCACCAGGTAGAGGATACGGATGGGGAAGAAGGTAACGTGGGTAGGGCGCTCCCGAAGTGTAGAATGGGGAAGGGAGTGGGGCAGGTGGAGGGGAGTAACCAGGGTAAGGACTCAGTCCAGTGGGGTAGAAGGAAGCGGGTGATGCTGCTGGACCAGAAGGACTACCTTGAGGACTGCTGTCTGGGCTGCTTCTTGCAGAAGGACTAGGTGTGGCTGAGGACTGTTTGCCAGGGGAATGAGTTAAGGGGTAAACAAGCTGACCAGGTTTGTGGCTCAGAAAGTCTTCTGAGATGGGAAGATGGGATCTGAGAGGTGGATAGATGGCGCGGGGGTACAGGGGGCGTTCTGGGCTATCAGCACAGCGTGGGCGGGTTGGAAGTGGACGACTGGGCTCCCTCTTGGTGGTGGAGGAGTTGCTGTTGGTTCCACGCAGTATGGAAAGAACACTGTGCTCGCTCTTGTGCAGGCTGGGGGTGACTGCAATGGGAGATGGGCTGGACGCTTCAATTCTGCTCTCCTCTCTGTCTGCTTGCTGCTGCTTTACCTCCAAAAGTGACTGCTCTGTAGAGACAAACAAAGAGAAACTAGGTCAGTATATTCATAAAACGAGGAGGCAAAATGTTCCTGTACATAGTTTGTATAGAAACCATAAATGCCCAGTTTGTGGCATTTAACACAGTGTTAACATCAACTTTGCAAGTTGAATGCCTTAGTGTTAGGGAACACCATAAGTAACTCAGTGGGTTAATTAGTTTGACAGAATTGATGAATGAGGGTAAGGGGCAAGGAAAGGAGCAAAACACAGGAAGTGAGGCATGACATCTGCCTTTAGGCATTGTGTGTGGTGCATGCGATGTGTGGGTGTCTATAAAATCAAGATAAAATCAGAATGGTGGCAGACAGACAGACAGGGCTGATGGAGGGTTTCCTGCTAAAGATATCTTCAGAAAAAGCTTGGCCTCCACCTGCCCTCCCCAAACACACACAAACACACCCACACCATGTGACAAGGTACACACACAAAGGCGCCTGCAGATAAAGACCTCTGTCTGATTTGTTGACTCTTCCTCTTTTGGACAACTTGCACACACTTCTGATCAAGCTCTTACTCTCCAGTTTTTTGTTTTTTTTTCTAGCCAGTTGCTATTGTTTCCAGGTCGAAGGGTAAATTAGAGAGCTTCCTCCCCAGTCACTCACACCTACTGTCTTCTCTCCATGATGAAAGAGTGGATTAGGGGTAGAGCTCCCTCACACACATTTTAAAAGCTCCAGGATGTCAGTTAGCAGCACATCTCGGCTGGTTAATTGCCACAGACAAGCTTTAAAAAGCAGCCGTCTATTATATGTAAGCTCTTTTACTGCCCAGTCAACTCTTTATACTATAAGGTCGCCCAGAGGGGAGTGTGTATGTGTGAGAGAGTGTAAGAAAATGTGTGTGAGAGTGATTGAACTTTCAGAGTAAATCCCGAATGCCAGGACTGGTGAAATTTGCTCCCCTCCATCCCAGTCCTCTCACTCACATACACACAACGTAATACACCCTTTCGTCAGTAGAAGAACGGCAGTGTGTAAACACTGAGGTTATCATTTAGCCTTCCGCCTTCTCTTCTCCCCCTCCTCACCATCCCTCTTCCAGAAAACAAACATGGCAGCCATCTTGAAGATATCAATCTGTCAACACGGCCCTTCTGCCAGGAAGTTCAAGTAGTCAACCGAGTGGGTAGGAGGTGCAGCTCTACCTCCCCCAACCCTCTCCTCCACCTTCTTTCTGGTCTTTTTAAGTGGCATATATATCAGGGTTATTGCCCAACACTGACACACACAGACACACGAGCACTGCATGTGTGAGGTTGCATGTGTTTGAGATAAAAAGTAGGGTGCAAATGCATCGGCATGTCACTCCTAAATTAGCATTAGTGTAGGTTTAGAGAGTGTTTTTGTCTGTGGACCAGAGTATCTTTGAACCCTCACATGGATGACAGGTGCTCTTAAGTGCTAAAACCTGAAATGCAAGGCAACAAAAAGCACGAGAGGGAAAAGTAAAGGAGAAAGTGAGGGAGTGAGACAAAGATTCATGCCCAGTCATTTTGTCCACGCAGTTAGGCACAAAAGTCTGGTTTTGTAATGACTGTACTGGAAAGAGCTCATACTCAAGAAAACCAATATGTGACAACAGTTGTTGTCAGCCCCCTGCTTTGGGTTGCAAAACAAGAGGTCATCTGGTTGGGTTCAAAAACTTTGATTCCCCCTTTAGGATACCAGGTGTAATTTTACACATATGGGGTGATAATTCATACTCATTTATTGATCAGCCTCTGAGATTTCCTCTTATTGTTAACCAAAATTCAGTGCATGCTAAGAAAAATGATTGTCTCATTTCTCTAAAATTAAGCTGGTCTGGATGTAAAACAAAATCTTAATGTCAAAAATATCCGTATTTATCTTGAGACAGTTACGTTTAAGCTAACTAAAACAGAAAGTCCTTGAAAATCTTTAGCTACATATATTAATAATAAACTATATGTGTGAAGAAGCTCCAAGTCACATTCAAAAAGCCTTCCTGATTCCAAAATCTGACGATGAAACATTGCGGCTTAGCTGCTCAGCTTGTATGATTTGGTTGCAAGTAATTCAGCTTGCAACATTAAAGGGGTTGATCACTGAAGCATCCTCTCGTTTTACCTTTTGCCCTTTAACTGAGTTTCAGTCTAACGCTACTAAAGTCAAACACATTGTGGGTTGTCTTGGTTTTACTCAGCAAATGACATTATTTCTGACTTCATTAGCAGAGCGAACCTCTTGAGAGTCCACCGTTAGTCAATATAGGAATGTAAATTCACAAGTGACACACTAGGGGCTTGAGACCCAAAAGCCCTGCCAAAATTCGGGTACAAGTGTGTTTTAAAATTCAGAGACTGGCTGGAAGGAGCCAAAGGGCTTAATGACAAATGAGGGCAATTAAAGACAAGTCATATAGTTTGTACATAGTGGGCTGAGATGGGGCAGATGGAAGGGAGGTGGAAACAGATGATCCCTTCTGCCACTGTCCCCCAGGTCATGCGCATTTTTCCCTGGGCCGTGGAGCCACTCTGGCTGGGTGTCGTGGTTCCTCTGCCACCTAAAACTGCTATTAGCCTGCAGTCACACCTGGAAGCCTCTCAGCTCCCACTCTTAGTCTTTGTTTTCCTCTTAGTTTGCTCTCTCTTTGATCAGCTTAACCAAAGTGGATCACTGCAGATAGTTTGCTGGCATGAACTTCTTTGCAGAGAGTTTAAAGCGATATTTAAAAGTTGGACTGAAATGCTATAATCAAAATAAATATCTACAGATAACGTGTAATATTGCCAATGTGCAATATTTCTTTGTGTATGAACCAAGAGAAAACTTTAAGATGACTCCAAAGCAGTAAAGTTAAGCAAACACGATTTGTCTCTGCTGCTTTTTTTTGAGGTTGAGCGAGGTTGAGCGAGCTTTTATGTTAAAGTGGGTCTTTAAGTGTGTAAGACTGTGGCATTAGGGGCCATATACCCCTGTGTGTAATTACACTGTCACTGGCACACAGACAAAAAATACAATGATGGCACTGACAGAGATGAAAGGTTGTATTCTGTGTGTGTGTGTGTGTGAGATAATGACAGGCTAACAGTGAGAGAGGAAGGAGACACAGCGACACTCAAAAAACACTGTTAGGCTTTAAGAGCGGCGACAGGACACACTCAAGACACACTCACACATTTAAAGTTTTCTTAGAGGAGCTGGTCACTCATTTGAGCTTCTAATAAAAACAGCTAAATTCTGAAGCCATTAATTTTTTAGACTTGTCAGCACAAAAACAAAGATTTTTTTTCCCAGTTTAGCAGTCTTAAATAAACTTCATTAACTTACTAAGTTTCTGCATCATCAGCTCTCCGGACGGTGGGTATTTCAGACGTCGGGCGAAGTCGTGACAGTACCAGACGAGCAGCTCAGCGCCAGCAGGTACGGGCTTCACAGTGTAGAAATAAATCTCCATGCCGTTCTGACACGCCGCCAGGTTCTGCTCGGCTGCGGAGTGGGCCGGGTTCACGTACCGCATCCAGTTGGAGCGAGTCTCGTCCAGGCCGTCGACAAAGTGGTGAAACTCGCCGTCCACGTAGATCTGGAACAAGAAGACAAAAATGGTTTTAATGTTGAATTTTTACCTTAAATTATTATTATTATTATTATTATTATTATTATTATTATTATTATTATTATTATTATTATTATTTAACCAGGTTTAACCCATTGTGATTGGCACCATATAAAAAGACAGACTCGGTTGCAACACAGTCACAATAAACCTAAGCTTACAATAAAACAAATGATTCAATTAAAAACAATTGCATTTAGAATAAAACCTTCTATTCTATGTATTATATGAACAAGTACAATGATTATGTCAGTTTAAAAATATATGATTTAAAACATCATACAAACAGTTCTTTAACATCTATGTTGTTGTTTTTTTTGTTACTGAGAACTTAAATGGGGGCCCTATAAATTAGACAGAAAACATTTGTAATAATTCAGGCAATTTGATCAGGAAAAAAAGAAAGTTGTAAATTTTGCCAAAAAACTTCCAAAATAATTTGGTTCAAGTTAATATTTTAAGGTCTTGAATAAAAAAAATGAAGGATTTTAAAGCTTTGAATGACATAAAATATCTGATAAATTATTACAGCAAATTAAATAAATAATAAATCTACATTCAGCAGATGCTGTGCCGGAATATTTTAACTAATTTACCCACGTTCTGACGTTTTTCTTTCTCTCTTTCTCCCCCGATATTTTCATTTCTTACCATGTCACCAGAACACCAGAAGTCAGACAGAAAGTCTGACAGAGGAGATTCTCTTTTATATTGAAAAGGGAAAGCAAGGCTCAACTCATTTTCTACCTCTCCTCTCCCCCGGTTGGGTCTCTTTTTTTTTTTTTTCTTCCTCAGTATTTACCTCTCATTTCTCTTGTATGCGAGCGAGAAAGTGAGACATGAGCATGAATGGAACACCTTAGCGACTTCAGTTTCTGCCTGTGGTTATACGCTTTTTTCTTTTTATGCAAGTCAAACCCACCACACACACACACACACACACACACACACACACACACACAC